AGGCATGCAGACCCATGACAGCAAAGGACCTTGCGAGCCGCCACATGGAATCGGCGAAGCGCCAACCGCCAAATGGTGACGTCATCGATGCCACATAGGATTAGTTATAATGCGCAAAAAGGTAGTAACACACGTGAGTAATGAGGGATCTCAAGGATAGGGAAAGCTAATCCTTGAGAAGATCCTTACGAGACACGTGGCGACACCCCAGCAACGCATCCAATAATTGACAACGAATCAAATATTCCCTTCACCGGTACGGAGCGAATATCCTCATCTCCTACCTTTTAGGATCTCGGGATCTCCTCCATAAATAGAGTTCCCCTCGTATTAGAGATCATCGAATCCTAAGCATCTGCTATTTGGTACTGCCGAGGACACCCCGAGTTCTCCCATTCTTCCAGCCTCCTTAATCCAAAGATCATCATTCCCCTACTCACGAGACCTTTCTCTGTCTTTCAAAGAGACCACCTACATCCAAGCCTTACACCTCCTACAATTTTATATGTATAGGTGAAATGAGGGCTAAAATTATCATTTATAATAAAATAATCACTTGTGGAAATACTAGCTCATCAAACATCTCCACCTAAGTGATTTGGCAAATGGGTCGCCAAACAACTTTATTGTTAAAATAAGCACTTGTGCAACAAATGTTAATTTTAACAACCACTTAATCACCAAATATAGCCTTAAGCACTTATTTGATGTTGGGTTCAAAAAATAAGAACAAGAATGCAAAAAAAATTTAATCACTTGTTGAAAAACCACTTTATTGCTATCTAACCATCTTGACCCGCCACGTTGTGCTACTGCTACCTGATCTAAAAGAAGCACTTTTTCATTAAACATTAAATAAACACTTTTTTTTTACTTCATGGGGCTACACAACGAGGGAGGAGGACCAACCTTAGGGTTCTCATTGATAAATTATAAGGACCCCTTGTACTATGGGGTCAGTGACAAGACCCCTGTGAACTTTTACATTGTGACAAATACCCCTTTAGTCATTAAGCTAGATAATGGAAGGCATTAAATTATCAAAATACCCCATTAAACTTTCTTTATTTTCTCTTTCGTGTCCATTTTCTCTTAAAACTTAATTGACGTAAAAATAAATCTATTGCTTCTCATCAGAAAATGCTTTTGTCATCTCACCAATGATTCAACAAAAAAGGGCAAAAATCTCTGGTGAATTAATTAAAAAGGGACACTCGTAGTTGGAAAAGGGAAAAAAAACTCTAGTAGGTTAATTAAAAGGGGACATCCACCTATTGGCATGGATTTTGAAAACTCTTGAGAGGCTTGATACATCGATTGCATAAACCCCTCTAATCTGATACACTTACCTATTGAACTAAAGTTATTCTTCAAGGTCGTAAGTTAGATTTTGAAATCTGCAATGAATCCAAAGAAGTATAATTTTAGAGAATCTTACTTAGGGGGCATTCTTTTTTCTGATTTTGAGAGGGGGGGGGGAGGGGGAAGTTGGTCAATGGGATTTTGGTTCCCATTGACCAAGAATCCCATGTTATTTTTTCAGATTTATGTGGGGAACAGGGAAAGTTTATTTTCCTGGGTACCTGGATAAGTGATACCCATCTCCTAGGTGGGTAAATAACTTTCCCACCTAGGGGGAAAGTTGCCAATACTTAAATGGGACAAAAATGCCCTTTTTAATAATGAATTTTTATGAATAAAATGGTCGTTACCTTATTTACATGACAAATAAAAGAACATGGGTAAGTGCACTTACCCAGGTAAATGTTTTCCAAGAAAAACTTACCCAAGTAACTGCATTTACCCGGGTAAGTAGCTTACCGAAAAGCAAACAGGGCCTTAGTTTCAAGACCATCCCATTTGACCCAGCAACATGGCAATCATTCTTATGATAATGCCATAGTAAAATCAACAAAATATGCCTTCCTAGTTCAACTTGAAAACTGAGAACCCCAAACAAAACAACAAAAATTAGGTTATAGTAATTTCAAATATGTCATTTGCAAAGTCAAAAACCAAAATGTGCTCTTTGTCAAAATTATTATGAAAATCTCAAGACCATTCGCTATAGTCTCGTCTTGGGATGGCAATGGGACGGGTTTTGTAAATTCTAGACCCTACCCACCTTCCTAAACCTCCCAACCCGTACCCATTCAAAAACATGTAGTAGATTGGATTTTGAGAATCCAAACCTCCCCACATATGAAAACGCAAAACCCTCTCCACATTCAAGGGAAGGGGTGGGTTGGGTTTAGAACCTACATCTAATTTCCTATTATTTCTTGTTATATATAAGTAATAAATAAGTAAAATAACACAAATGAACAACAATATTTTCAATTATTTGATTAAGGCATGTAAACAACGCATAAATTAATCAAGTGCCCTTCATGTAAACTTTAAAATATTATAAAATTCAAGGCCTAGTATACGAAGTCTGTGTTTTCCAACTACATGCTAGTATGGGAGGGTTGGGTTTAGCCCAATACTATACCCTACCTGTACCTGTATGGGTTGTAGAATCCCAAAACCCATTATTCAAGCAAAAAAATTCACCCTATCAGGGAGGGTAGGGGCAAGTACCCACTAGGTAGGGTAGAAATTGTCATCCCTAGTCTCAACATCCATGCGCTCCGTTTCTTCATATTTTATAGAGGGGTTGAGGGTTTAAGAGAATAAAATGATTTGTTTTTTTGAAATATAATTATTGAAATGGTAGATCTATATATGAGATTCAATGGATAAAACTACCTAATTGAATCAAGGCTAGTGGCTGGATTGATGAAGAACTTTGTGGCAAGGTCAACAAATTTTCAAACATATGTGTTGTTTCTCCATACAAAGGCAAGCAAAAAGGGGTGCAAGTCGGGCGGGTTGGGCTGGGTTTATGGTCAACCCAAGCCTGGCCCTAAAATTTGGGCTTAAGGCCCAAGCTCGAGGTCAAGCCCGATTTTCCCAACTTGAGCCCAGCTCGCCCTATAATTTGATGCATTTGGGTTGGGCTCGGACTCGGGTTGGTCAATGAACCCACTCTAAAATTATACATATATAAATGTATTTATGCAAATATATATACATATATTTATGTATGTATGTAAATATTAATGCAAATGTTATATATACAAATATGTATGTATATATATATATATATATGTAAATATGTATGCAACATTTACATATATACACATATATATGTATAAATGTATATAATTGGGCCGGGTTCAGGCTACCTAAGGGCTAGGCCCGAGGCTGGCCCAAAAAATAAAAAAGCCCAACTTCTTGGGCCCAAGGACTAAAAATCCAAGCCCAGTCTGTGTAAAATTCCGGGTTGGGCCTATTCAGACTCGGGCAGGGCCCACCCAAGTTGCACCCTTAAGCAAAATGCAAAGAAAACTGCCCTCTTCTTCCATGTTTCACACTTCAGGTGTGTTTCTACTTATTGTCCCGAAACCGTTGCATTTATCTTAGGGAAAATTCCACTAGAGTACCCTAAACTTTGGGGGTGGTGTCAAGTTAGTATCTGAACTTTCAAACGTACAGTATCCAAACTTTCAAAAAGTGTCAAGTTGGTTCAAAACTGTTAACAGACGTTAAGTATCATGTAAGGGGACAAAAATACCCTTCACTTATCATCTAATATTCTTCTGATTGGTATCCGAATGCCTCTCCTAATTCTCTCTAGATTCCCTTTTCATGCAGTGATGCTTAGAATCACTGTCCAACACCATAGGAAACGGAAACAAATCAAAAAAGAAAAACGTGAAAAATAGGCAAGCCAAAACTCAGTTCAAATGAAGGAGGAATGTCAACCAAAGAGACCGGAAAAGACGCTATTTACAATTGCAGGGAATTCTTGCTTTTGCAATAAATTAATTTGTTTCTTCACCATTTCTTCTTCTTTGGACGCCATTAACACAGACACTCTCATTCTTGTTTTTCCCTCCCCTCTCTCATATTGCTCGCCTCTAGCTCTTAGCTTCTCAAACCTTCCAAAATGATAGAATTTTTGGAACATTCATTTCATGTCCAACCTCACTCTACCTTAGTGAATCTTTCCTAGACAATCCCAACCTAAGAATAGCAGAAATCTACTTTGGGTCATTAAGCTAGACAAAATTCCCATTTCAAAGGTTCCAGAACTGATCACTGGAATTAGACCGCAGAAATACTTTGGGTCATTAAGCTAGACAAAATTTCCATTTCAAAGGCTCCATAATTGATCATTGGAATCGATTGCTTCCGGATCATGAATCATAGAATATCAACAAACTTTTCGAGCTATACTTATATATTTAAAAATTTAATTTATTGAAAATAAATTAAATAATTATTTTTCATGTGGCAGTTTGAAGCCACATAGAAATCGTTCTTTTTCATTTTTTTTTCTCTCGAGAGCATACGAACAATCTCTCTCTTTGGAGTCAGGTCCGAGGCCCTGAGCTAACTCAAAAGCTTAGTTTCTTCTCTATTGGCTGGTTTGGGTTGGATTCCACTTTAACACTCGTTTCTGTAGTAGCTGCAGCCTCAGTAAAGCGATAGCATCAATGTAGAAGACAATGAATAGTGTAAGAGTAATTTTGATATTTTCGAAAATTTTAAATTGTATATGTCAACATGATTAATCCATCAGTTAATGTTAAGGACTAACTTGACATTTTTTGAAAGTTTGGGTACTGCGGTGTCACATACTAACTTGACACTCATGGTTAAAGTGAAAATTTTCCTTTGTCTTAACCATTTCAGTTTAACTTCAATAGTGTGCAAGACAAAATAATAAAAAATAAGATTCCGTAAATTAAAGGATAAAATAAATTAAAAAAAGTAATTTAGGTATTTAGAAAGTTTTAAACGGTCGGATAAGAATTTTTTCAAAGTTAAATGACGGAACGCTAACAGAAGGGTATTTGTTAACGGCTAAAGTTAAGGGGGCCTTTGTCAGTCACCCAATACTACAAGGGTGGTTTTTGTAATTACCCAATTATGATATTGGTGCCGAAGCGAAGAGGTTGTAAGTTGTTCTTTCATTTCCGCGGGCCGCTACCATCAATCTCTCGCACGGAGAGAAAGAGAGTTTTTCTGGTAAATTGGTAGCCGAAAGAGCAAGGATGACAGCAGAGACCGCGAACGGGAGTTCTGAGACTCTCGCACACTCGAATGGAGTCCCTAATGGAGATTTGCAACATAAGAACAACAACAAGAAATTGAAGGAGAGCGAGCGGCGTCGGCGGAGACGAAAGCAGAAGAAAAACAAGCCATCCCAAGCGTCTTCTGATGTCCTGGCCAACGATAGCGAAGGCGCCGAAGATGAAGCCAAAGAGAACGCCGATCCACAGCAGGTTTCTTTATCTTGTTCTTTCTTTATTTAGGTCTTTTTGTTTGTTCGCCGTTTTCTTATGTTCATTTATTTTTACAAAACCAAACTTCTCCTTACTTAAGCTCATCTTGATCCTCAAGTTGCACGTTAGGGTTTTATTACCGAGTGTATAAATAGATAGAAGCGTTTTGGTTAATTCTTGTAGCCTGGTCTGCAGTAGATAGGTTTAGGATTTTGCAGAAAAATTAGGGATTGCTATCCAAATCTATAGTTTATCTGACTCAAGATCCCGGTATCATAAAGTTTTCGCCTTCTCGTTTGATAGATCGGTTGTTGGTCATTCGAGAATGCACTTTAACTATTCTCTTTTGTCTCCTAATATTGAAAACCATAGGCTGTCGAACAAGTGGAGGTAGAGTACGTTCCGGAGAAGGCTGAGTTAGAGGACGATTTACTTGAAGATTTTAAAAAGGTTTTCGAGAAGTTTAGCTTCGGCGATGCTGCTGCTACCACGGAGGTATGGAGTATGTAGTTACAAGAAAACTTGTTAAATGTGAATCATAGCCTCATAGGATGTTTCTCTGTTATCTTTCTCTCTCTCTCTCTCTCTCTCTCTCTCTCTATCTATCTATCTATATATTTTAAATAGATGACTCCGTGTTTTATTCTAACTCAGGAAAGCGATAAAAAAGACGAAGCAGCTGCGAATGCAGCCTCTAACAAGAAAACGGATTCAGATTCAGAGGAGGAAGAGCAGGACAAGCAGAAGGAGAAAGGGATGTCAAATAAAAAGAAAAAGGTTCGACTAGTTGATATAATTATCACTTAGATGGTTTAACTTCTTTCTCTTCATTTTTATGCAAGGACCTAATGAATTGAGCTGTCTTCCTTTAGCTCCAACGCCGAATGAAGATTGCTGAATTGAAACAAATATGCTCAAGGCCTGATGTTGTTGAGGTATGGTTGAGTAATGAATGCCTGCATATTCTCTATTATTTTGTCTCTGCATTGATTATCACTTATGGAGTTCATGCTTGCCTTCCCCTTCTTGCTTCTAAAGTTTGGATAACTGATAACCATTAGGACTAGCATATCTGCCTTCATCTTGTTTTTTGTTCTAGAAACATTTCTTATTGATGAACCTAGAAATATATATCCGTCTAAAAAGGTATCATTACCCGAAAAATCGATAAACAATCAACTGGTACTAATTCAATTTCACATGGGTTTCTGACTGGTTAAAAACTTTTAGGTATCACACCTTTCCGGTGTCGCAGAAATTCCCTTGAATTTTTGTCACTGTTATAATGGTCAAATGGTTCTTTGAACAAGAGAGCAAGGTTTTGCAAGACCAACTATCAATTCTTAGATCAAAATTTTCATTATCTCAATGGGTTCCTGAGAAGTTGCTCCATAAGTAGAAAAGACAATCACTCAACTCAACTTGACTAAACCTTGTCCCAACTATAGCAATGTTGTATGAAGCTGGGGTATGAGCATGGGAAAGTCAAAATGCATATTCAAAGAGTGGTTGCTCTTAGAATTTCTAGCCTTGTAAATGATTCATAAAATTTTCCTTCTAGCCCGTGGTATTCTCCTATCAGAAGAATACAACCACCATGTATGTTTTTACAAGTTACAACGAGAATGCAGCATTATCTGCTTCTCAGATATGGATGCAGAAATGTACAAATGTGGTCCTTGTATGGTTTCTGTAGGTTTTCAGAAGTGTTTTTTATTCAGCTGAGAAGCAAGACATGGATGCAGACATGTAAGATTTTTAATGACTCAAAAGGTAAGTAGCATTTGGGATTGGTTTTTCTACCTATTTGGATGCAGGTGGGACACCCCGATGAGTTTAGAAAGATTGTTTGTGCCATCTACTTTTAGATGGCCAAAGCGAAGAGGGAGAATGATGTGGAGATGCACAAGGGCAGCGGTGCTATGGGTACTATGGGAGGAAAGAAATCGGAGATTATTTGAAGATAAGGAAAGATGCAATGCAGAACTGATAGAAATTATTATGATAAAGGTGATCTCATGGGTGAAAACACTGAATTTATTTTCAAAATTTACAGTGGATGATATGATTAGGAATTGGAGGATAGTTGCTTTCTCTTCCTTGGCAAAAAAGAAGATCCTGAAAGGAGTGGGTGCCCCCTGAACCGGGCTTTATCAAATTGAACTTTGACGGCAGCAGTTTTGGAAACCCAGGAAGATCTGGAATTGGAGGGGTTATAAGAAATGAAAGAGGAAATGTGTTGTGGCTGTATTCGGGTCCCATTGGAATTAGAAATTCCATTACAACTGAACTGAATGCAATGGTATATGGGATACAAAAGGCTAAGGAGATGGGGGTGGAAAGGTTGGTTGTGGAATGGGATTCCAAAGTTATCATTAGTTGGCTAAAACAACATGACAGCACATCCTGGATATTCACAAATGACATCAAAAAGATTAAAAGTCTATCCAAGGATATGCAACTTTCAATTCAGTGGACCCATAGAGCAGCAAATGGATTTGCAGACCAGCTAGCCAAACAAGGGGTGAACAGGGATCGCTGTTTCTGGTCTCAACTGTAAGAGTGAAAAATCAATTTAATAGTGGATACACTCTAGTGGGGTAGCCGAGTCTACTCATAAACTGTAACCCCTGTAATTTCTTTTCAATAATGAAATTTCTTTTTACTGATAAAAAAGACTCAAAAGGTAAGTGGCCCAAATGACTATGCCACGTATTGGCTTGATACTAGACTGACTCTTAGACTCAGTGATTGCAAGATCAACTCTGTTCTCCAGCATGTATAGACTATCTGCCATGCTGCCTCTATCAATCATCTTCCCCGATGCCAAATCTTGTATTATATAAGAGGAAGGGAAAAATGTTACTTAGTAGTTTAATAAACTTTTAATACTATTAACGGAAAAGAGGTTTATAGGCAATTTTGGAACATGCAAGACATTAGAAAAGGGTAAGGATGAAAGGAAGGGATATGGTTCTTTGACCATATGGTTTGAGGCTCCAAAATCTATAATCTAGGGGGAATGTGAGGAATGAGAAGACACATGGAAAGCTGCGACATATTTACTTAATGTAGACAAAATGAAGTCGAGGAGGTAGTAATCTATCATACAACTCTAGATGATCATGGAATGAATTAATGATGTCTTCCTTGGGATCAAAACCAGAAGGGTGATAATGAGTCATGGTGGAACCTATAGACTGGTGCTCTTGAGAGGCCATGTTTGCTGAATTATACTTCTTTCGAACTTACTGTTTAGGCTTCTTGTTTTGTTCTAGTTTCTTATTTTAAGTCATGAGCTCACTTGGGCCTCACATGGAGATCCCAACAAGTATATATCATCTACTCTCTTCTGCGGACAATGGGTACACCCAAGCTTATCTATATCATCTACTCTCTTCTGGGAATCACTCTTTTTGAAGGAACTTCCATTGCTTGCATTTGCACCCCCCCTTAACTGCCAAAGCAACTGGCTTACCCTCAAAGTTCATCACATTTCTCTTACTTTCTTCTGACTGCACCAAGGCATACAGTTCTTGAATTGAAGGAGGATCTTTACGTCGTAAAATCTGTACCCTGATTGATTCATACATAGGGATTCAACCCCAAGAGGAAAGAAAAAAACTCATTGCTGAGAGATCAGAGATTTGTAGGCCTTGGCATCCACATCACATTTCCATTCCATATTTAGGTAGTGATCCAACTCCTTCCCGATAGATGTCAAATTCGAGTAATAAGCTGAGAGACTCATCTCCCTCTGTCTACAAGTCAAGGATTCAGCTTGCAACTGATAGATTTTTTTGATCAATTGCAACTAATAGATTTTTGCATAATTGCTTTTGTTCTGAATGTGTAGATTTAGCTTGTTCCCAAATTTCACAAGATACATCTGCCCATATAAAAATTTTCTTGACTTGTGGCAATATAGAAACTAAAAGCCATGACATTACGATGCTATTCTCCTGGTTCCACTTAACATGCTCTGCACTCATAGACTTCGACTCCTTCCATTTACGTAGCCTATTTTTCCCCTTGCTGTCATGTATAGTTTAATTCCCTTCAACCACTCTAGGTAGTTGAGTCCATCGAAAGGAAAACAGGCATGGGGAAGTTCATATTGAACCCCCTCACTCCACCACGGCTAACAGACACACTGAATGTGGCTGAATCCTCAGACAACATGGTAACAATGACTGATTCTACAGTTCAGTTACATAGCCAGCAAAAAAAAATCACCATTGTCCACACACAACACACAACACAGGTAGTGGAACACTTATGAAACTGATTTGGAAACCAAACAATGATAGAAAACAAATCAAGGTCTGGATAGGCTCTATGAATACCAAACATCTAAGGCACACAGATACTACTGTCATCAAAGACAATGCCCAACTATGTTGTTGCTGCAAATATAGGTCATCCAGACCTACACAACCCACCAACCTGGGTACAGAAGGATCACATGATCCACAACCACAAGGGACTGGAAACAAGCTTATAGCACCCTTTTTCCAGGTGATTTATTGGCACATGACCAAGAAAAAGGAAGAGAAAACACATACTTTTCCTGGTTCGATCCCAAAAAAGGAGATATGAAGATATTGAAGAGAGAGGTGTGACTACTTGAAGATATTGAAGAGAGAGTATAAGATATTGAAGAGGGAGCTGTGACTTCCCTAATGGACTTAAAGAGTAAGCAGTGTTTTTAAAAGGCACTTAAAGCGTGCCTAGGTGCATTGGTGAGGTTAATTTCAGGGTTTGTACCTTGCCTAGTCCAAGGTTCAGCCCTTTTGAAAGGACAATTAAAATTATAAAACTGTTTCTTTTGTAGGAATAAGGATTTTAACCCTTACGTGGTTTTGTTTGGGCCAGTGGTTCAAAGGCGCACAGGCGAGGCACATTTTAGGGTATGCACCTTGCCTAGGTCCTAGGTGCAACCCTTTCAAAAGGCGAACGCTTGGTGCTCCTGATGTGCCTTGCGCCTCAGCCCAGACGTGCACCTTTTGAAAATTTGACATTTTTTTGTGTTTTTTGAACATAGCGGCTGGGCCAGGGGCTCCGCCCCCGGATCCCCGTGCCACGCCCCTCGAGGCAAGCCCAAACAAGTCCATGTTAGGTGTTGATGTTGTTCATTCATTCATCCTAATAAAATATTTTCTTAAAAAGCAATTGAAATTATAAATTCATTATTTTTTGTGTGAGAACTAAGAATTAACACCTAACATGGACTTGTTTGGGCTTGCCTCAAGGGGCGTGGTACAAAGGCGGCTCGTAGAATCGGGAATGAAATATGTTTTACATTACATTAGCTATTTGAAGTAATGCAATTGAGTGGAAGAAGAGATTAGAGGTTTTACATGCTTGAAAATGTTTTATATGTTTGATTTTTTTTTAAAATTCTCATTTGAATATGCTTTACATCTTATGTTTATGTGTTTTAATTTTAGATAATAGTTTTTCTAAAACATTTATTTTAAAATTGAAGTTTATATTTTTGCGCCTTGCTTCAAAAAGGTGTGCGGCCTTGCCTTGCGCATTGTGCCTCAGGCGCAAATTGAACTCTGCGCCTTTTTTGCACCTTGCACTTTTTAAAACACTGGTTTGGGCTTGGCCTCAAGGGGCTTGGTACGAAAGTGGCATGTAGAATTAGGAATGAAAGATGTCTAATAATTTTTTGATCAATAGCTGAAAAAAATTCATTAATTAAAATTCTTTAGGATACACTAAGAAGTTGCAAAAGAAATAAGCTTAGTAAGCTGACCCAGAACAGAATTACAAATGTGCCCAAATATGTTCTTTGAACCCCTTGCTTTGCTAATCTATCTGCCAAACTGTTGGCAGATCTCCTAACCACCTGCCATGTCACCCCTTCCCCTTTCTGCAACCATTTTATCACAGTTTTTGAGTCTCTCTTGATGATCAGTCTATTAAT